CTGGGACTTCCGTTGGGCTCCCTGTGGGGCCACGAAACGCTGTACAGGGTGGGTGAAACGCAGGGAGCAACAAGGCTGTGCTGGGTGGCGGGCGGTGCCACTGGGACCTTCGGTGGGACCCCCTATGGGGCCACGAAACGCTGTACTGGGTGGCACGAAAGGAACAATTTGTGTACTGGGTGGTGGCGGACGCATGCGGGCGGTGCTACTGGGAGTTTCGGTGGGGTTCCCTACGGGGCCACGAAACGCTATGCTGGGTGGGCAAAGCGCAGGGAGCAAGGACTGTGCTGGTTGGTGGCGGACGCATGCGCGCGGTGCCACTGAAACCTTCGGTGGAGCTCCCTATGGGGCCGCGCAGCGCTATACTGGGTGGGCGGAGCGCGGGGAGCAAGGGCGGTGATGGGTGGTGGCGGACGCATGCGGGCGGTGCCTCTGAGACCTTCGGTGGAGCCCCCCATATGGGGCCACGAAGCGGTGTATCGGGTGGGTGAAACGCACGGAGCAATGGCTGTACTGGGTGGTGGCGGACGCATGCGGCCGGTGCCACTGGGACCTTCGGTGGAGCTCCCTATGGGGCCACGAAGCGCTGTACTGGGTGGGTGAAACGCAGGGAGCAAGGGCTGTGCTGGGTGGTGGCGGACGCATGCGGGCGGTCCCACTGGGGGCTTTGGTGGGGCTCCATATTGGGCCACGAAGCGCTGTGCTGGGTGGGTGGAACGCATGGAAGAAGGAGGAGGGAGGGGGGGAGAGGGAGGAGGAGGAGAGGAGAAGATGAGAAGAGGAACGCGGGGACCGTCTCTTCAGAACGAGGACCCAATACCACAAGATGGTTAGGAAACATACACCAACCATAACCCAAAATTGTCGGAAAATAAACTGCAATTGTGATTATCTTCTTCGGTGGCGCTCCCTATGGGGCCACGAAGCGCTGTACTGGGTGGGTCAAACGCAGGGAGCAAAGGCCGTGTTGGGTGGTGGCGGACACATGCGGGCAATTCCAATGGGACCTTCCGTGGGGCCCCGATGGGGCCACGAAGCGCTGTACTGGGGCAGGTGTGCATCGACTGCGGCCTCGCGTGAACGTTTCGAGCGAGCCGTAGCAACCGAGACGCGAATCTAGAAGTCGCAAGGCACGTCCATAGAGCCTGGCGGAAAGTCTGCGCAATCACAGCCTGAGAGCCCCTTGGTATCATCGTGTTTCGCCATCACGCAGGCGGGTGCCGAGGGAACGCGGGTCCTTCGATTGTTCCCTGACATCGTTTCGCCAAGACGGCTCAAGTCTATCTTCTTCAGCGCGGGCTCACTGACGGATTTGGACCCCTCAAATACTCGACAATAATTTTTCCCCGGCGGCGGCCACCGCTCAGGCCTCCGCCGTCGTCGTCGTCGCCGCCGCCGCCGTCGACGCCCAGGCCGAGCAGGAGACGCCCATTGCGAGTGAAACGAAGGGAGCAAGGGCCGTGCTGGGTGGTGGCGGACGCACGCGGGCGGTGCCACTGGGACCTTCGGTAGAGCCCCCATGTGGGGCCACGAAACGTTCTACTGGGTGGGTGAAGCGAGCGAGGCACTGGCTGTACTGGATGGTGGCGGACGCATGCGGGCGGTACCACTGGGACCTTCGGTGGAACTGCGTACGGGGCCACGAAACGCTGTACTGGGTAGGTGAAACGCAGGGAACAAGGACTATGCTGGGTGGTGGCGGACGCATGCGGGCGGTGCCACTGGGACCTTCCGTGGAGCTCCCTATGAGGCCACGAAGCGCTGTACTGGGTGGGTGAAGCGCAGGGAGCAAGGGCTGTGCTGGGTGGTCGCGGACGCATGCGGGCGGTGCCCCTGAGACCTTCGGTGGAGCTCCCTTATGGGGCCACGAAACGCTGTACTGGGTGGGTGAAACAAAGGGAGCAAATGCTGTGCTGGGTGGTCGCGGACGCATGCGGGCGGTGCCACAGAGACCTTCGGTGGAGCTCCCTATGGGGCCACGAAGCGGTGTACTGGGTGGGTGAAACGCAGGGAGCAAGAGCTGTGCTGGTTGGTCGTGGACGCATGCGGGCGGTGCCCCTGAGACCTTCGGTGGAGCTCCCTATGGGGCCACGAAGCGCTGTGCTGGGTGGGTGAAACGCAGGGAGCAAGGGCTGCGCTGGGCGGTGGCGGACGCATGCGGGCGGTGCCAGTGAGACCTTAGGTGGAGCTCCCTATGGGGCCACGAAGCGTTGTACTGGGTCGGTGAAACGCACGGAGCAAGGGCCGTCCGTGTTGGGTGGTGGCGGACGCATGCGGGCGGTGCCGCTGGGACCTTCGGTGGAGCCTCCTTATGGGGCCACGAAACGCTTACTGGGTGGGTGGACCGCAGGGAGCAAGGGCTGTGCTGGGTGGTGGCGGACGCATGCGGGCGGTGCCGGTGGGACCTTCGGTGGAGCCCCCTTGTAGGGCCACGAAACGCTGTGCTGGGTGGGTGAAACGCATGGACGAAGGAGGAGGGAGGGGAGGAGGGGGACGAGGAGGAGAGGGGAAGAGCAGAAGAGGAACGCGGGGACCGTCTCTTCAAAATGAGGACCCAACACCACAGGATGGTTGGGAATATCTTAAACAAATAATCCCCAGACTGTTTTTTATAACAATTTTTGAATCTCCCCCTGTAGAGGGACAGGCCCGACTTAAGCCTCTTTCTGGCAAGGCAATCCGGGGCCGCCTTCGGGCGAATCTTTTTTTTGCAGACAGAAAAGAAAAGATAAAACAAAAGGGCCAAGGCAAGGCCCCCCGGGGCCCCTGGTCTCCGAGGAGCCCGTCCCGGGCCCCGCGTTCGTGCCCGCGGCCGAGCGTCCTTGGGCCGTCTCGGCGCCCTCGCGGGGGCCTGTTGGGTGTCCGGGGGGCCGGCTGGGAGCGCCGGGAAGCTGCGCAGGCAGAAGCGCTGAAAGGCACCAAAAGCCTCGGGGAGTCATGGATTTCTGGCTTCTTGGGGCCCTTTTGGGAGTGCTCTTGGGGGCCTGTCAGGCTGTGTTGGAAGCCTTGTGGGCCATCTGGAGGCCATCTTGGGGGTGTTCGAGCGAGATGTCCGCATGTCGGGGCCTCTTGGAGGCCTCTTTGCGGCCCTTTTTGTTTCAGCAGTGTTGGGGTTTTCTTGTGCCGTCTGGGAGCGGCCCTGGGCCGTCTCGGCACCCAGGACGAAGCCTGTTTGGACGATTTCTGGGGGTCCTGGACCGTCTTGGAGCGTCGGAAAGCCGAACAGGCAGAAACGCTGAAATGCACTGGGAAAATTAAGGATTTTGGCTTCTGGGGGCCCTTTTGGGAGTGCTCTTGGGGGCCTGTTAGGCCGTGTTGGAAGCCTTTTGGGCCATCCAGAAGCCATCTTGGGCGCGTTAGAACGATAGATCGGTGACCGGAACCCTCTTGGAAGCCTCCCGCGGCCCTTTTCAATTGTGTCGGGGCTGTCTTGGGCCGTCTGGGGGCGTCCCTGGTGGCCCGGTCCTCTCATGGCGTGTCGGGGGCCCCCTCCCGGGCCCTCCGGCCTCGTGCGCATGTATATCATATTTGTGATATGTCTGTAGATATCTAATATATATACGTGTGATATAGATGTGTATGTGTGTATGTGTGTATGTATGTATGTATGTATGTATGTATGTATGTATGTATGCATGCATGCATGCATGCATGTATGTACGTACGTACGTACGTACGTACGTATGTATGCATATATGTCCACATAGAAGTTAAACACCTATATATACACATATATATATATATATGTGTGTGTACATCTACATTCTATATATATATATACAATGGGGGGGCGTCCATCCTCGATAGTGGTGTGTCCGAATGGCCCCCTGGGGGTGCATCCCCGAGGCTCCCTCCCTTCCCAGGGACATCCAGCCTCCCGGCTTCTCTCGAGACACGGCCCCCCGACCTCCCGACCCCTCGACATCTGTCCTCTCGACCCCTCCCCTTCTTCGGGATACGGCCCCCCGACCCCTCGACCTTTCGACATCCGACCTCTCGACATCCGACCTCTCGACCCATCCCCTTTTTCGAGACACGGCCCCCGACCTCTCGACCACTCCCCAGGGGCCGGTGTATCCTCATCCCGAGTCGTCCTTCGATGGCCCCGAGGCCCGGCAACGGCCCCCCGAGGCCGAAACCTGTGAAAAAGCTCCGTCCCGACTTGGTCGAGACGCCCGATGTCTGGGCTCTGAGCTGCTTCAGCTTTGACTGAAAGCTCAGGGCTGGCGGGCGAGACATCGCCTGCGAGACACGGCTCGGGGGCACTGGACGGCCACCCGGCGCTGCCAACCGCCTGCCGTCGCTCGGAAGTCCATTTCTTATGCATTTTTCGGTTTCGTGCGTGGTTTTTTTTTTTTTTTGCTCGACGGTCCAGGATGGTCCTCGATGGTTCTCGCCGAGAAAAAATGCACACGTCCGAGCGATGCCAAGACCGGCGGGGCCGGAGCTGCCGCCAGCGCGGGGCCCGGGCGCTCGCGGCGGAGCGCGCTCGGTGGGGCTCGGGGCCCGGCTCTTGTAGGACGAAGCCAGGACGAGGATAACGTCGGGTGAGGACAGATCGATCATCTCTGAGATCCAGCGGTCCTAGAGGGTGTCTCGGGCGCCGCAGCCTTCTCAGAGCGCTCCGGAATGCTCTGAGAGCGTCCCGGCACGCTCTGGAACGGATCTGGCCTCATCCCTAGTCCCGCTCGATTTTTGCCCCTGGCCTCATGGAAGATCGATGCACGCGCACGCCTTCCCTGAGATCCTGGCGTTGCATTTTTTGTCCAACCCGGGCGTTTTCGCCTTCTGTCGGGCCAGGGGGCCCTCGCAGATCGAGCAGCTCGAAAGGAGGAGGAGGGATGAGGAGCAGCAGCAGCAAGAGGCTGCAGGAGGAGGATTAAGCAGGGAAGGAAGGGGAAAGAGAGACCGAGGGGGATGTCGGATGATCGCGGAGGAAGCTTCCTCCTGACAAGCCCGGGGCGGTGCCTCCGACGTCTGGGGCGAACTGAGCCCAGGGCGGCCCTGCCAGGGCTCCTCGGGGTTATGGACCTCGACGAGGCGCGCGCACCCATCGATTCAGATCGCGCTCGTTTCGATATCCTTCTCTTCCTCGTCCTCTACCTCCCTCTCCTCCGCACTCTCTCTCTCTCGCTCCTCTGCCCTCCCGTATATGGACCATATATATTCGAACCCTTACACATTCGAGGGGAATTCTGAATCACCCCCCCGCCCCCCCGAGATCAATGTCGATCGCAGTAAAGGCGGTGCTGTGGAGCTTCGAATATCTCTGTCCACTCACGCCCCGCCCTTCGCCATGCCCTCCATATTAAGTTGTGGTTGTGCGGGAGGCCATGCTCGGTCGCAGGATTCGAATATCATGTCCAAATACGGTCCTGCCCCTCCCGCCCCCCTCACCGGCTCCCCCCCCCCCTTCGCTCCTCCTGCCCCCTCCCCTCCACCACGCCTTTTCCGTCTATCCTTCTCCTCCTTCTTCTGCGGCTGCTCCGCCTACCCTCCTCTCCCTCCTCCTGAAGACACAATGGTGTCACAGGGCACCGAAAGGGGACCCCAATCCATCATCGAGCTGCGACACCACATGTGACCACCCACTTGCAACATCATGCCTGAACGTGCCTGACAATGGAAACCAAAAGGGCAAGCGAGGCACGAGCAACGCAAGGAGCCCTTGCTACTCTCAGTTGGCTTGGTGTGCCCCCCCCGCCCCCCCAGCTGGACGACAAACTTGCCAGGGTTGCATATGCGGGTTGCGCCAGCGGGCTGGCTTTCCTGGCTGACTTGCTCGCTGATGTGTTTGCCGTCTTGCGCACGGGCGTCAAGCGCAGCAGCACCACCAGTCTAACCACTGTACGATCACAAGGGTGTCGATACGGCACCCTTGGGTAAGGGACGAAACCTCATGTTGGCCCCACTCTGCGCCTGGATGCTTGAGACACGCCAGAAAAGAAAAACGCAAGAAACCACTTGAGACAAAGCTAGCCCCTTCCGACACCAACAAGAGCCGTATGTCAAACGTTCGACTGCCATGCCGTATACGTCCTAATACCTATCCGCATCTGCCTCGCAATCCCCGGCCAAAAACACTTCGTCACCTATGCGCGCGGCATAGTGCTCCGTGGTGTGAACTACGGCGTGTCGCAACAGTGTAAGCATTATGGGACATCAAGAGAAAACACCAGCAGGAGGTTGGGATGGGATGCGGAAAAGGAAGGGGGGGCGACAAGGGGAGCGAGGAGACGGATGAGCAAACGCGGAGGATGGACACCACCAGTAGCACACATGCCACCCTTGCCGCTCACATGTGCATGCCATCCCTATCGCATTGTGTGCGCTTGAACGTCATTTCCAAGTATGGTGTCCCTTGTACACCAATATGAGACGCCACATGGACTAAAGAAATTACCCTGGCGAATGACCCTACCATACGCAGCTGCGAACGCAACGGGCGGGGGGGGCCGCTCCAAGGCGCAAGGGCAGCTCGTAGAGTCAAAGCTCATGGAGAGTCCCTGAAGCGCGTGCTGGTCGCTCCGAGAGGACCCACGCGAACCCTTACATTGAGGCATGAGTTGGAGTCCCGATGGGGTCCACGAAACGTGTGTTGGGTGTCCCGAAATCAAAAGCGAGAGCTCGTGCGAACCGCTGCATTAGAAACTTATTTGGGGGTCCCTATGGGGCAGCGAAGCGCGTGACGGGCGTGCCGACATGACAGGCGGGCACCGGCGTGAACCTTGGCATTTGACTCTCATGCGGCCTATGGGGCCACGAAGCGCGGGAAGAGCGTGCCGAGATGAGATTCGGAGAAGAAAGAGGGAGGAGGCGACAGGAAGGAAAGGAGGAGTCCAGCACATCCCCCCGTCTCCGGTAAAAATATTCGGGGGATTTCAGGGGCCCCCCACCCTGACAACGACGCACGACGACGACAACGACGACGACGACGACGCACGACGACGGCGGCGACGACGACGACGACGACGGCGGCGACGACAACAGTGGCGGCGACGAAGACGGCGCCGACGACTGCGACGCAAAGGCAGCGGCGGCGGCGCACCTGTCGCCGGCCCCCGCGCCAGGCGCTGGCTCTCTGATAGAATGCTACTCTAAGCCTCGACCCAGCGCTGTCCGTCTCGTGCTGGGGCCGTGCTGTATTTACCTTGCTCGAATATGCCCTACTCTACTCTATTCTACGTTCCTCTGCTCTACTCTGCTCTACTCTACTCTGCGCTGCTCTACTTTAACCGACTCTATTCTGCCCTGCCGTACCGAACATAATCTACCCTACTCCACTTTGCTACTGCTCCGCTCTACTCTACTTTGCTCTACTCTACTCTATTCTACTCTACCCCAACCTACTCGAATATACTATACTCTACTCTTTTCTACTCTACTCTCGACTCTACCCACCTCTACTCTGATATACTCTACCCTAGTCGACCCTGCTCTACCCTATCGTACCCCTTTGTACTCTAGTCTACCCTACTCTACTCTGCTCTACTCGACTCTATTCTACTCTACCTTGCTCCTACTCCAATCTACTCTACTCCTACACTACTCTACACTTTTCAGCTCTGGTCTACTCCACTCTGCTCTGCTCTAGTTCTGATCTGCTCTGCCTATTTACCCTTCTCTTCTCAATTATACTCTACTCTAATAAGATCTACACTCCCCTACTCTCCTCTATTCTACTTTACCCGACTCTACCCCAGCCTACTGTATCGAACCTTATTATTCTCGACTCTACTATACCTTCTTTTCTACTCTTTTAACATTCTCATATATGCCAACTCTACTCTACTCGTCGTCTCCGTCTGCGTCGTCGCCGTCTTCGTCCTCGTCGTTGTCGTCGTCGGTGTCGTCGGCGTCGTCGTCGTCGGCGTTGGCGTCGTCGTCGTCCCCGTCGGCGTCGGCGTCGGCGTCGACGTCGGCTTCGGCGTCAGCGACGTCGTCGTCGTGGTCGTCATGCGTCGTCGTCGTGGGGGTCTCCTGAACCCCCCGAACAATTTCCCAGAGTGGTGGGCGGGTGCTGGACCAACCCAAATTCGCTGGCCCAACGGGCCAGAGGCGTGCTAAGATCTCGTGCAACTGGTTAACAATATTTCTACTTCGCGCGCGGGGCGGCCACTGGGGGCCCCCGGACGAAAAGTACCCTGGCCAGGTCCCGGCCCACTCCCCCAGAGCGCTCCAGGAGCGCACCAACAGGGCTCCAAGGCGTCCCCGAGACAGTCCAAGAGGGCATCCAGTCGCCGAAAGATCGCCCCCTGTCGGTCACGATGGCCTCCAGATGATCGTAGAAGCCGCCAAGAGGCCCCAAGAGTGCCTCAAGAGGCCTCCAAGACGGCCCCAAGAAGCAAGAATTGTCCAATTCCTTCGGGGAAGCGTATTTTTTCGCGCATGCATTTTTTCAGGTTTCACAGCGTCCAGCACTGCCCAAGAGGCCACCAAGATTGCCCCAAGAAGGCCCAACAGGGCCCCAAGATGGGCACAAGACGGCCCAAGAGCGCCCCAAGACGGCCCAAGATGGCCACAAGAAGGCCCAAGAGGCGCCCAAGACGGCCCCAACGGGTCCCAAGAGCGCCACAAGACGGCCCAAGAAAGCCCCAAGACGGCCTAAGGTGGCCCCGACACGGCAACACGGCCCAAGAGGCACCCAAGACGGCCCCAAGAGGGCCCACGAGATCCCCAAGACGGCCTAAGATGGCCACAGGACGGCCCAAGAGGCCCCTCCAGGGAGCTCCCGAGTCTCCTGTCAAGAGACTTGAACGACGCCAGATTCACAACGAGCCCTCAGGCAAACGGAAGAGATGGGACAATATGGGCCGGCGGAGTGAGCGAAGTGATTAGATAATTTGTCTGAAGTGTGGGGGGGTCCGGAACCCCATCCCTCCAATTTTTTTGAGGGGGGGGATTGAACCGCCCTCTCTGCCAGCAGCGGCAGAAAACGTTATGTCTTATGTTCTGCTGTGTTGTAATAAGTCATGCCCCACGGTGTCACAGCATGGCTTGGTTATGGTTATATGGTTATATGGCGCTGTGATCTAGTATGCTACGCTATGTCACAATATGCTCTACTAGGCTCTGTTCTGAAAACTTATGATACGGCTATGGCCCGTCAATTTATCTTATGGGATCCCTCGTCAAACTTGATTCGGTAGTTGTCGCAGTAGTCGATCCCACAACGCAGCGTACTCAATAATCGACGAATTATGTTATGGGGCCCCTGACCACTGCCGCATTGGTAACAACATGCGATCATTCTGGTCTGATATGTCATGTTCCGGTATGGCATACTCTGCGGTGCTCTCGTATGCAAGCCTCTTGGTTGTTATGCAATGGTTTTGTCTGGTATTGCATGGCACGCGGTACTGGAATATGCAGTGATACGCTAGTCCATGGGCTGCTACGCCGTGATATGTTATGCTCGCATGCTCCGATACTTGGGGGGCGGAAAGATACGGATACGTGTTGTCCCCGGACCTCTCTTGGGGTGCGTTCTGACCAGAATTTCGAGGCGAATCCAGCGGTGACACCGAGGATTCCCCAGGAGGACCAAGAAAGGCCGAAAACGAAGGGGGACAACACGTATCCGTATCTTTTTCCCCCCCAAGATACAACTACCTTCGCTTTCACAGTGTCCAGAGATCCGACCACTCCATTCCGGCACGCCGCCGCTCCGCCCTGGGCCCCCCTCTGCACCCAGCCACCCCCCCCCCCTCCCCCGCCCGCCAGCACGCCCCCTCCGCTTTGACTCCTGCACTTCGGCGGAGTATTGGCGGCCCGCCCGCCCTTCACCCCTCCGCGGCCAGCTCACTCTCTCCTCCCCTACCAGCCCGCGCGCCCCCTGCGCCCCGACCCTTGCATGTCGGCACTGCACCGGCACCGCGCCCGTGCCCCTCCTTTGAGCAGGACCGACCGCCCCAGCATTCCTGCAGGCCTGCCTAGCAATGTTCGTGGAAAAGACAAATGTCCGAATAAGAAACAATGTTCTAATAACATTAAGCCGACGTGCTACAGAAGCGCATTCCCAGCCTGATCTG